AGAGAGAGAGAGAGAGAGAGAGAGAGAGAGAGTCCTGGTGTGGTGCTGTAGGTTAATGCGCCAGTCTGCAAAGCCATTTGAACTACAAGGTAGGCAGTAGTTCAAGCTCACCAGTTGCTCCTCAGAAACCCTATACAGGGTTGGAATCGACTTGATGACACTTAACAACAACAAATATATATATATATATATGACATGACATGAAGATAGTAATTTGCATCTTAAAATGTCAGTCAGTTTCCACTTTAGATCTTTAGATCATAGTAACTGGTCTTCAGGTTCAAGAATTATTACTGAGACTGAAAAAGTAATGGACAGTGAGCATATATCAAAATGGGATGTTGTTGTTGTTGTTGTTGTTGTTAGGTGCCATGGAGTTGGAACCGACTCATAGTGACCCCATGCACAGTAGAACGAAACAATGTCCGATATTGTTAAGTGCTGTCAAGTCAGCCAACTTGCATAGGGTTTCCGAGGATCGACTGGTGAGTTTGAACTGCTGACCTTGTGGTTCAAACCAACCTTGTGGTGGAGTGCTTGTAGACTTTATGATAGCTGTTGTGGCTGGTCATTGTACATATGAATTTGTTTACACATGACTAAATTTTCATTGGGGATTTTTTTATTTTTTTCAATATTTTTAGGCCTGGCATTTTTTCCATTGTACACTATATGTATCAGGTATGATGAAAACGTGTTTACGATTCTATTTTATCATGCTGGAAAGGACACTTTTCAATAATTTTGCAAAGCTTTTCCTCACTATCATTCTGTAAGCATTTCATAAAATAAAAAGTCTCAGGTCCCCAGCTGCATTAATGTTTAACTGTAGGCCTGTTGCAGCAGAATATCAACTCTATTCATCAAGTTCTTGCAAAGAAAATGAGGTAATGATTTACTTTAACAGGCTGAATTTTACACTTTTGTTCCAGAAATTCTGAATCATTCACAGCATACTTCCTACCTGGTAGTGATCCAGAGTTTTCTGTAAAACCTGAGACTGGCAAACTTCCTCCTTCTAAATCTGCTGGAGTCCTCATTAAAGTGGGATTTATACCTCAAATGTACAGCAGAAAATACAAAGCAACATTAGTAATACAGGTAAGTTCTAGAAAGATAATAGTCAAGGATATTTAATATACTTAAGGCATATATGTGATTATAGCCTGAGGCATAGAGGTTTGGGTTTACAACATGCATGGGATGGGAGGGGGGGCACAACTCAATCATTAACACTTAGTATGTTTGAATCCATTTTGATGGCCTGTGTGCCTTCAGCCTAGGTAGCACATCTTCCAGCACTATGCCACACACCAGTCTACTGTGATCCATGGAATATTTAATCAGTGCTAATTTTTAGAAGTGACTTGTCAGCTCACTCTTTCTACTTTTAGTCTGGAAGCTACACTAAAAAAAAACTCTCTACTGTGGATAAAACAGCTGGTATTTTAAAAACTGGTGGCATAGTTTTCAGCATAATAGTATTACTCAAGACAAAACAGTATGATACACTAACAGCAGGTGGTAGAAGTTCCTTCTTATACATAATTTTCAATAAATTTGGAGTTCCTTTTGAACTAAAATAGATTTAATTCTGATCTACCTTTAGTATTTGTAGTTCTCTAAAAGAAACCATTATTATTATTATTATTTTATCATAATCTACACTAAGAAAGGGGAGTGCAGTCAGTGGCTTCATACAATAAGTCCTAGACTGCTAACTACGAGGTCTATGGCTTGAGCCTGCCAGCCACACCGTGGGAATAGACAAGGCTTTCTGCTCCCGTGAAGATTTAAAGTCTCTGAAACTCTATACAGGGTCTCTATGAGTCAGAACTGACTTGATGTCACTTAACAACAACAACAAAAGCACTGAATGAACTATGAAGAAAAGGTCTCACACACTGATCACACATAGAGAATAATAATATTACTATTCAAAAGTGAACTTATTTCATTGGTTGTTTTATTGACATTTTGTCTTACTTTTATTTTGTCTAGCAAAGTACTTTTTAAAAAAAATGAAATATTTTAAAATTTTATTAATACTAGAGGAAAGTAAGGAAAGTGTGAAAGAGATAAATAATGATCATAGAATGATTTGGATATTGATATATCGTTTTCCTATAATGAATCTTCAAATATTTAATTAAGTTTATGTGATTTGAGGTAAATATTAATTAAAGCATATGGTATTGTGAAAATATTGAAGTCTAAAATAAAATAGTAGCTAAAAATAATTTAATTGAAAAAACAAAATTTAAGCGGAACCAAAAGGTCATGAAAAAGTCTAGGGAAAAAAAGGATGTTGGAAGAGATTCTGAAACTAGCTTTTAAATGTAGAATGTCTGATATGGCAATGTGGGATAATGCACTGCACCACAAGGTTGGTTTGAACCACAAAGTCAGTGGTTCAAACACACCAGCTGTTCCTTGGAACCCTATACACAGTCACTATGAATTGGAAGTGACTCAGGCACTTAACAACAAGAATAACAAAGTAGAAGTAATGATGTAAAATAGCTGAACAGAAGATATCAAAGAGCAGCTGGAGACGACAAAGTGAAGAATTATAATGAAATATGAAAGACTTGGAAACCCAAAAGAACATGCTCAGCATTTTTCAAGCTAAAATACCTGAAGAAACAAGTCAAGCCTCCAGTTGCAATATAGAGTGGCTGGTGAGTCTGAATTGCAAGTTCGTTGATTCAGACTTACCAGCCACTCCTTGAAAACCGTATGTATACAGGGTCTCTTTGAGTCAGAACTGGCTAGACAGCACTTAACAACAACACAGATGTATATATATATATATTGTATGCCCCTTGGAAACCCTATACAGGGTCACTAAAAGTCAGAAACAACTTGATGACACTTAACAAGAATGGCAATAACATGAAAAAAATATTGAATGACGTTGTTGTTAAGTGCCATCGAGTTGGTACTGACCCATAGCGACCTTATGCACAGCAGAACGAAACACTGCCCAAT